ATTCTTCCTTAAGGCAACAAAGGAAAGAAACAAAGGCTAGCCCTCCTCAAGGCAACAAAGGAAACGAACAAAGGCTAGCCTGGCAGAACCTGGTTTGGAAGGAACTAAACAAGGAGTTAATTCTTCCTTAAGGCGAAAAAGGAAACAAACAAAGTCTAGCCATCCTTGAGGCAACAAAGGAAACAAACAAAGGCTAGCCTGGCAGAACCTGGTTTGGAAGGAATTAAGCAGGGAGTTAATTCTTCCTTAGGCAACACACGAAAGACACAAAGGCTAGCCCTCCTTAAAGCAACAAAGGAAAGAAACACAGGCTAGCTCCTCAAGGCAACAAAGGAAACAAACAAAGGCCAGCCTGGCAGAACCTGGTTTGGAAGGAATTAAAAAGGGTGTTAATTCTTCCCTAAGGCAACAAAGGAAAGAAACAAAGGCTAGCCCTCCTTAAGGCAACAAAGGAAACAAACAAAGGCTAGCCTGGCAGAACCTGGCTTGGAAGGAACTAAACAGGGAGTTATTTCTTCCTTAAGGCAACAAAGGAAACAAACAAAGGCTAGCCTGGCAGAACCTGGTTTGGAAGGAATTAGACAGGGAGTTAATTCTTCCTTAAGGCAACAAAGGAAAGAAACAAAGGCTAGCGGCTAGCCTGGCAGAACCTGGTTTGGAAGGAATTAAACAGGGAGTTAATTCTTCCCTAACTCCTGGTTTAGTTCTTTTCTAGCACGTCTTCAAGCCAGGTTTCTGAAAGGACACCTTCCAAAAAGAATTAACACATAAGTTAATTCCACACATCTCACACCATATCATAACCATATCATACAATTCACTCCCGATTTAATTCTTCTACGAAGGGACACCAGAAAATCAACAAAAAGAATTAACTCCTGATTTAATTCGTTTGAACTCCTGTTTTCACACTCTTCCGACTGAGTCCATAGGATGAACACGTGTGAGGGGCAATGCGGCAACAAAAACATATAATCCAAGCAAGTCAAGAGCTCCACATTACTAGGAGCAAGAACGCTACTAGGAACAAAGGGCATCGCTACTAGG